GAATGCTTTGAACCGTGCGGAGACACGTGAGAGAAGGGAAAGGAGATAATTATTAATCAGGCTGTCACATCTGAGATACTCATAAGGGACTTATCCGGATATGACAGCCTAATTCTAGCCTTCGCAGCAAACATTATTGCTCTACTTCCAACTCAGTTTCGCGCTTTAATTCGAGTGGAAACCCTTGTCACGTGGGCTAGCCTAATTCCACATCCCTTGTCTTGGATGGCAGTGATGATAGAGGCCTGGGTGCTTGATTCGTTCAACTTCAAGTGACATCATCAAGACGCGATCGATTAGATCCCAGTCTTCTCCGCCCCATTTGTATTGGTAGTCTTGAGTGTTCATCCCTGATTAGGCAAAGATAAGTTTTTCAAACAAATAAATCAGAGACAAATTGAAGCAACTTTTAAAATAACTGGTAAGTAAAAGGGTTCTTTTTTCTCGTTTGTAATTTAATCCAATTACCAGTAATACCCTTAAAATCGTACATGCATGTCATTGCGGAGTAATGATAGATCTTCGGCCTCGTCTTATTCACCCTTACACGTTAATTAAAAGGGAACATAAAAAAGCTTATGACATTTTTCAAATCGCTGGGGAAATATAGAGCGTTTTCACTCACGTGGCCAGCATCTTTGCTAATTCATTGGAACAAAAGAAAGTTTTTACATAAGAAAAGAGTTCAATTCCGACAGGGTTGTCTTGGTACACCAGCATGGCCGCCGTTTCATTGCTTTTCAATACCAATATGGCCGCCGTGACGTCATGTGAAAACGCTCTTTACATCGGTGTCCTAGTAGTTTATCTTATATGTGCCCTCATTGGTCTCGGTGGTTAGGGTTAGGGTTAGGGTTAGGGTTAGGGATGAGTTCATACATACACTCAAGCGGTAATGCTGACGTCCAATATTACTTTTGGTTTTTGCAATTCAGCCACCGGTTAAATGTAAGAAAACTGGCACCATCACATGTTTTCCGATCGTGGTTCCCGCTTCTAATTCTAACTAGCACTTCAAACTTTCGTTAAGATACCACCCAGGATCTTGCCTTGCACCCTTCAGACGAGTCACTTTTAGGACTCCCTCCTGGTCTTCTCCAAATCATTGAAGCAGACCAAATAACTTAAGCTGCAGTTTTTAGTTTCACATATTGCATACCTCCTAATTTTGTCCAGTCTGACTTGTAAATCGCCATAAGACCAAACCCGTCCATTTGCCAAAACCCTCGATGTTCCTTTGAATCACTGTTACAATTAAGGCGACCAACTATAGGAAAATACACCATTCTACCAGCTATGGTGTTCTGTAAAATGATATATACATCACTGCTTCAGAATGAATGTTTAGTGCGATTGTATGCTCAGGAAAGTTTAGGTCTCCGTGTACAGACTTGAGACAACTCACGTCATTACAGCCTGAGAAAACAGCCGACATTTGTCGACGCTACCACTGATTTCCCCACCAAATGACGTCTGAGAAACGAGCAGAGAAATTCCATACTGATGAAGCGTCACTACCCAGATCTGGGTAGTGACGCATCATCAGTATGGAATTTCTACGCTCGTTTCTCAGACGTCATTTGGCGGGGAAACTAGTGGTAGCGTCACCAAATGTCGGCTGTTTTCTCAGGCTAACGTCATTAACAAGTAAAAGATATCCACAATTATTAGTGAGATAGATAGAAGTACCCCACAATAGAGGGTAAACTTCTGGACAACTTTGAATTTTTTCTTAAGACCATGGCAGCGAGTATTACTGCGTATGCTAAGGAATGCAAGTGCTCGTCTGGGCATTTTCGTCCCCAAAGCCACTCTGCTTAACCCTAACCCCTCGTTTCCAGATCATGCGACCAAAAGAAACGACGGGGCGAGAATGTCGTCTGGGAGCGCAGCGTTTCTGTTTAAAAACTAGGAATTAATCAATTTTTTAGTTGTTGCTAACCTATATTTGTCACGTTTCCTGTTGATAACTTGCTCCAAAAACTGTTTTTTTTGGGCATTGATTAACGTTTTTAAGGAAAACAGAATGTCTCTTATGTGGAGGCCTTTTCCACTTTAGTACACTTGCCCTTTTTCAAGTAGAGTATTTTCCCTGGAAAATGAAGAAACTCTACTCCGTATGGGTTATCATCCGTGGCATGTTAAATTAAAAAGTTAGACTAAATGTCATCAACAAACTTTCAAAATATTGTTTAGTCCTTAAACTGAGTTTTGTTTTTATTATTCACCTTTGTTACCAGGTGGATTAAAATTTGAACCAAGATCAGTCAGGGGCACCCAAAGATGGTTTTCTGTCTGTCTGTTCGGAGAAGCAAATATTGCCTAGAATTTTCTATTGCTTGAGGACGGCTAAAAATTTCTAAGTGATCGTTCCATTCATGTACAATTTTCGAGGCTTATCTAATAAATTCCCTACGATTTTCTGAAGTTTAATTTTCACATTTCACTACCCAGGTTAGGCTAGATAGCCTAAAAAGTGTTTTCAATTTATTTAGAAGGAAATCGTCGTTGGGTGCCCCTGATTAGTAGCTGATTAATAGGCCTTCTAGCTACAATCCTGGACAAAACTACTGGAGAAAATGTTTTCATTAATGCGCGCTACCTAACGCAACAAAACTATTTCCAAATCAACGGCTTTGCGTAAAGAAAACCCCCTCCCCCAGTTCAAAGTTGCTTCCTACAAATGCTTAGGGATCCGGCCTTCTTTTGAAGACCCAACAACACTGCTTCCAGGGGAAGGGGCGGAGGGAAGAATCGGTCAGCTACGAAGTTCAGAAAAAATGCCCCCCAAGTATGCAATTTTCTCAACAGTTTTGTCCAAGATTGTAGCAATAGTGGCCATGTGCAAATGCAAGCAATCCACTCGCATCTTTCTATTCATGTAATTTTATTCCCAAACGTAGACTTTGAGACACTTACTTTTCGAATACTATCCATAATATTGCCGGGTACATCAATGTGCAGGTCGAACAAGAAGACTATGTCATGCGCATTGGGTACGACTTCAACAGCCTTGTTCAAAGCTAGTGTCTTATAAAATTTTCCAGTTCGTAATTGGACAACAGTATGCCTCCTATTGAGAAGTGATGTGTTGAATGCTTCTTCTATATCAATATCTTTGCTTTCAAAATCAGCAATAATGACGTGAAAATTAGTATCACCGGTCAATACACTTGCAGTAGTGACCTGTTTGATGAAATGATGTATCCATTTTCCTTGCTCCTTGACAGGAATGATAAAATAAATTGTGGCGTTGTTACTCCAAATCATTCCCTCAGGAAGACACAAGCTACCACTTTTTTTCATCTGGTAAACGTGTTCTGTCAACCTAAATGTTTGATTGGTGCAATTTAAAGCGACTTCAAGATCCAGCAAGAAGCGATCACCATTCTCGTCATCCGGTTTTTGAATCACGTTATTGATATTCTTTAAGAAAATGTCACTGAAAAAAGAAGAAATGAAAATACAGCAGCACATAACTGGTTTTACACAGACGAACATCAGGGTGGGGCAGGGCAGAGCATTTGGTCGCTTTTTGACCGTTCTTATAGTCAAGCGATCTAGAGTCATGTACCAGCTCTCCTAACCCTAAAAGCCAATTGGTTCGATAACCTAACCGTGAAACAATACGAAAATAATGAGAAACAATGATGTGTTATTGTTTTCTGCGACTAATGAGGAAACACCTTACGAGCAGCTCCTACATTACTGGATCTAGAGAGTAGCGCTAGTGGTAGTGGTTCAAAGAGGGTCTTCAAATGATGGATAGCACCATCCAACGGATAAATCACCATACAGTGGATAAGCATTAGAGGAGTCTTAGAGGAATATTGTCTGATCCACCTTTGGACAACTGGAGTCTGGAGTTGTGAATGTTTGACCATCTCGTTAGATTTCCTTTATTCACCATTTTCACACAGACCATTATTCCCCTTGTTTACCACCCTAAATTTTGTGTAACCATTATCCTCGATTTCTCTTGGGACCAGACTATAATACGCAATAGAAAATGGAAACAATGGATACAAGGTGCATTATGGTCTATGTGAAAATGGCGAGTACGTCTGTAATGGGTAGATTTTTCATATATGATTCCTATAGTGTAATGGGTAGATAGCTCATATATGATTCCTATAGTGTACCGATATATAGATTCTTATAGTGCCGTATTATAGCGCGCAATGTTGCCAGTCCGCTGGACAAAGTTAACGCGGCGTCTCTGAAGGATCGAGATTAGTTTGCCTCCCTGAGTTTTCAGACCAGTAGTTACAAGTTCAATTTGAAAATTCCGCCAAACCATAGTTCACCTTGTTAAGTCAGTGTCAAGTGTCTTCGAAAACCTTTTTTCCATTTTTGAATCCTCCATAACACACTCGGCTCGCCGCCCAATTTCCGTTTTCGCGTAGACTATTATTTTTTAGTTCTCCAGACAACTGCATTTGGAAACAATTACTTGGTACGTAAAAATTTGGGGAAGAGGGGGAGGGGGGGTAAAACCTAGCAGATTGTATGGGGGATTCGAACTTGATCGTCAATGGTAAATATAGTTATACAAAGATGGTATCAACTTATCGCGAGTGTCGATTGTTATGTTTCAAATAACTCTTAATAATTTCTCTCGTTTCTCAGACGTCATTTGGCGGGGAAACTAGTGGTAGCGTCACCAAATGTCGGCTGTTTTCTCAGGCTAACGTCATTAACAAGTAAAAGATATCCACAATTATTAGTGAGATAGATAGAAGTACCCCACAATAGAGGGTAAACTTCTGGACAACTTTGAATTTTTTCTTAAGACCATGGCAGCGAGTATTACTGCGTATGCTAAGGAATGCAAGTGCTCGTCTGGGCATTTTCGTCCCCAAAGCCACTCTGCTTAACCCTAACCCCTCGTTTCCAGATCATGCGACCAAAAGAAACGACGGGGCGAGAATGTCGTCTGGGAGCGCAGCGTTTCTGTTTAAAAACTAGGAATTAATCAATTTTTTAGTTGTTGCTAACCTATATTTGTCACGTTTCCTGTTGATAACTTGCTCCAAAAACTGTTTTTTTTGGGCATTGATTAACGTTTTTAAGGAAAACAGAATGTCTCTTATGTGGAGGCCTTTTCCACTTTAGTACACTTGCCCTTTTTCAAGTAGAGTATTTTCCCTGGAAAATGAAGAAACTCTACTCCGTATGGGTTATCATCCGTGGCATGTTAAATTAAAAAGTTAGACTAAATGTCATCAACAAACTTTCAAAATATTGTTTAGTCCTTAAACTGAGTTTTGTTTTTATTATTCACCTTTGTTACCAGGTGGATTAAAATTTGAACCAAGATCAGTCAGGGGCACCCAAAGATGGTTTTCTGTCTGTCTGTTCGGAGAAGCAAATATTGCCTAGAATTTTCTATTGCTTGAGGACGGCTAAAAATTTCTAAGTGATCGTTCCATTCATGTACAATTTTCGAGGCTTATCTAATAAATTCCCTACGATTTTCTGAAGTTTAATTTTCACATTTCACTACCCAGGTTAGGCTAGATAGCCTAAAAAGTGTTTTCAATTTATTTAGAAGGAAATCGTCGTTGGGTGCCCCTGATTAGTAGCTGATTAATAGGCCTTCTAGCTACAATCCTGGACAAAACTACTGGAGAAAATGTTTTCATTAATGCGCGCTACCTAACGCAACAAAACTATTTCCAAA